TACTTTCAACACTACTATTTTAATGATGGCCGGAGGGAGCACCATGAATAAACTATGCTGTGAGCCCTCCAGGTGTGGTGACTGTGATGACTGTGAGGATGAGTGAAGTGTGTTTACATAACAACAGCACAACAAGTACTCAACTCTCAAGCAGGGCCATCAGCAAGTCTTCTGTTTCACCACCCCTGCAGGTTCCACACAGGCTACCCCATTGCCAACGAGTTTAGAGATTCATGGTCATTGTGCATTCATGGTACATCCTCAAATTATTTGTTATATAGTAGTGTTGAAAGTATTAAAAAAATAAATTAACTTAATACAATTTTGCGCGGCTGTGTTAAAATTTAAGATCTTGCTATATTTTCATTTCTCAAACGGTAAACACAAAAACTTGAGTGTTAATGTTCCCAGGTAAAATCATGAATAGTTGATAGTGCATGGCTGTAAATTGTTTTATTTAGCGGGTAGACATCTGTTATCATTTTGACCAGATCCAGTAACGAATACAAATGATAAATAGGTTGTATCACGTTGCGACCCCCACGGTCGTTTCACTATCGTCCTGACGATACAGGGGGAGCCGCGCACTTCGTGCGCGGCGGGTCATACAACGTATGACAATAAATATAAAATAGGATAGTGAAAAAATCTTTTGCATAGCGCACTGATTGCAATATTAAGAATACTAGTAAATGGCTTGTTTGTAAAGTGATTACAATTTAATTCACAGTATATTGAACAACTCCTTTTACATTTAATTATCGATAATTAAATGTAAAAGGAGTTAAATAAAAGCAGTATTAGATCTAATACTGCTTTTATTTAACGGGTGATACTCGTAATAAATATCTTGTAGGTTTACAACCTACCAGGACGCGCGCCGAGTTGGACTCGTCGACGGTTCCAATATATGGAACAGATATTTTACGAGTATCACCCGTTAACTCATATCTCACACATTTAAATTATTTCACATATTTTAATTAGTACTTATGACAAAACAAACAAAACTTTTTCACGATATAGACTTAAAGTACCAAAAATGAAGTATACGCGCAAAATACCTAAATTTTGATTACATTTTTTAGATTTTTAATTTAAAGAATTTTGAAATAATAAATTAACTTAATACAATTTTGCGCGGCTGTGTTAAAATTTAAGATCTTGCTATATTTTCATTTCTCAAACGGTAAACACAAAAACTTGAGTGTTAATGTTCCCAGGTAAAATCATGAATAGTTGATAGTGCATGGCTGTAAATTGTTTTATTTAGCGGGTAGACATCTGTTATCATTTTGACCAGATCCAGTAACGAATACAAATGATAAATAGGTTGTATCACGTTGCGACCCCCACGGTCGTTTCACTATCGTCCTGACGATACAGGGGGAGCCGCGCACTTCGTGCGCGGCGGATCATACAACGTATGACAATAAATATGAAATAGGATAGTGAAAAAATCTTTTGCATAGCGCACTGATTGCAATATTAAGAATACTAGTAAATGGCTTGTTTGTAAAGTGATTACAATTTAATTCACAGTATATTGAACAACTCCTTTTACATTTAATTATCGATAATTAAATGTAAAAGGAGTTAAATAAAAGCAGTATTAGATCTAATACTGCTTTTATTTAACGGGTGATACTCGTAATAAATATCTTGTAGGTTTACAACCTACCAGGACGCGCGCCGAGTTGGACTCGTCGACACTCGACGGTTCCAATATATGGAACAGATATTTTACGAGTATCACCCGTTAACTCATATCTCACACATTTAAATTATTTCACATATTTTAATTAGTACTTATGACAAAACAAACAAAACTTTTTCACGATATAGACTTAAAGTACCAAAAATGAAGTACGCGCAAAATACCTAAATTTTGATTACATTTTTTAGATTTTTAATTTAAAGAATTTTGAAATAATAAATTAACTTAATACAATTTTGCGCGGCTTGTTAAAATTTAAGATCTTGCTATATTTTCATTTCTCAAACGGTAAACACAAAAACTTGAGTGTTAATGTTCCCAGGTAAAATCATGAATAGTTGATAGTGCATGGCTGTAAATTGTTTTATTTAGCGGGTAGACATCTGTTATCATTTTGACCAGATACAGTAACAAGTAACGAATACAAATGATAAATAGGTTGTATCACGTTGCGACCGGACCCCCACGGTCGTTTCACTATCGTCCTGACGATACAGGGGGAGCCGTGCGCGGCGGATCATACAACGTATGACAATAAATATGAAATAGGATAGTGAAAAAATCTTTTGCATATCGCACTGATTGCAATATTCAGAATACTAGTAAATGGCTTGTTTGTAAAGTGATTACAATTTAATTCACAGTATATTGAACAACTCCTTTTACATTTAATTATCTAATACTGCTTTTATTTAACGGGTGATACTCGTAATAAATATTTTGTAGGTTTACAACCTACCAGGACGCGCGCGCGCGCCGAGTTGGACTCGTCGACGGTCCAATATATGGAACAGATATTTTACGAGTATCACCCGTTAATAAATATCTGTTCCATATATTGGCGCGCGTCCTGGTAGGTTGTAAACCTACAATGCTTTTATCCATATATTATGAACAATGAAATTGAAAAGTGTTTGGCAATACTTGATCATTACATATAAAATTTTAACTTGTGCTTTTTTGGAATGTTTCTAATGAAGTTTTGGTAAGAATTGAGGAAGCCAGTTATGTCAGTTATAAAGAAAAAACTTGTCATACGTTGTATGACCCGCCGCGCACGAAGTGCGCGGCTCCCCCTGTAGCGTCGAAGACGCTACACTATAGTGAAGCGACCGTGGGGGTCACCACGTGATACAAAGAAAAACATAACAATTATCTTTGGTTCCATCCTTATGTGGCAAAGACAAAAGAAGCGTTTTATAAATATTTATTCCACTGGGAAGTTTTTAAAATAGGATAATGTTTTTGATGAAATTGTTTTTAAATATTGTATTTGATAATTAATTAATGTTGGTGGGGAAATATTTATTATATATTTTTTCACACAGTGCGATGATAGTTTGTAGACATGTGTGATGATGTGATGTCATAAATTTTACTTTACTTTACTTTACTTTGTATTTTGTAGCCAAATGTCAGCAGAATACGACAGAGAGTGGATAATTAAAATACATAAGGCATTTGTAAGGGGCTTCATACAAACACTGAATATTGCAGAGTTGAATTTAATTAAATTTTACCTTCGTTTTGAAATCTTTAGAACGACGGTAATTTCTCTCCGGGGCTATACAGAGGGCCGAGAAAGAACTTTGTCAATATAGACAGTTTAGATTTAAACTTTGAGCCGCAAGGCCAAGGTTGATTTTCAAAATATCGAGTTTTTGAAGGGTTATTTTTATATAGGGTCATTGTGGCATTATGTGTATACTGTTTGAAACATTTTATATAAATTTTACCAGCTTGAGATAATGCATCGGATCATTTATGATGTGTATATTATGGATTAGGTAGTTTGTATTTGATTTGAAATGATTTTATGTCCCCATATGTAGAGAATAAAGGATATTCTAAGAAAGTTTTTTTTTCCGCTTCAAAGTTTTTTTTCTTGCTCTTGCTTTACCTTTTGACCGAAGCTTTTAAAAATGATTGTGGTGTTGTACTCGAAAATGATAGGCCAAATTGTTTAGTATGACTAGTTTTTGTAATCTGTACATGGCAAGTTCTATCAACCTCTGAAAGTAATCTTATTCTGGTTGAGACTGTTTTTAAAACAATATACACATAATATAGCAATGACCCTATATAAAATTCTGTAAAAATGGTACAAATTTAGAAACTGAGGTAAAAATAAAAATAAAACCCTTTGTAATAATATATATAAAAACCACTAAATCACATCAAAACAAAAAGTAGTTTAGACCCCCATCCAACTAGAGCACTCCATGACCTTTTAGGGTTTAAGAGTGTTGATCAGGTTAAGGTCCAAATCACTTATTGCCGTGGGTGGAAGGGTTCTGGTACCTCTGTACCCCCTGATAGAGATTATACAGGTTCTGAGTAGATCAAAACGCAGTCTGCGTCTGACAAATGACATCACATCACAATACCGTTGGCCTTTCTTTAGGCTGATCTTTTAATCCCCATGTTGCTAAAAACGTTCTATTAACTTATATAGTAGCGGAAAGTCCTTGTACCTAGCATTCTAGTTTGCTTGATTAGGATTTGATTTGATTTTATTTTTTTCAGACAGTTTTGTCGGAATTTGTCTAAAATTTGAGATTTTTGACGTCCATGTTATAAAATCTTTGAAAACGATACCAGGGTAGCCCTCAAGATATATCTGTCCAGGTCTGATTATGACAGGGTACCAATCAGTGGCGTAACAAAGGGCCCCGCTGACCCCACTGTGGGGGTGGCGCAATCTTAGGGGGCACAAAATCGTCGTTTGAATGTGGGACAATTTTGAAAATCTTAACTGAGGTACTAGCAAAACTGCGCCAACAGGCAACGTTACGCCACTGGTACCAATTGATTTGAGAAGGATCAATTTGTACTACAGGAGCAATTTGTGATCCGATGTGAACTTATTTAATACAATTTTAAGAACAAGTGATATTCACATGTTCTAATGTGTTGTATCATGTAATATAATGCAAAGGCAGCGAGAATTTAACTCAATATTCATAAGTTTAATACTAGTATTACATTGCTTAGTATATTCGTGTGATTACCAAAAATTTCATATCTATAGATTAGAGATTATCCATCCACCCATTTTGACCAATTTTGGACTGATTAAACAAAAACTACCACAAATCCCGATTTACTGCAGGTTTTTGTTTTCCCCAAAGTCTGCAGTGAATTGGAGTCTCACTGTATTGTGTTGATGAACTATTGGATAATATTATTGTTTAGAGTGTTATTGCACATTCATTTTTACTGAGATTTCTTTATAATGGCTTAAATCCAGTTTTTGTATTAACTTAACAAAACAATGTTTAGAAATGCCCCAGTTCAAAGACAACTCATAATCTGCAAGCATGAGTAGGACTCCAGGTATAGTGGCATCTTCCACACCTGTTTATGTTGAAGCTGTTCTGGAAGATGGAAGGATCATGATCATACCAGCTCAAGCTATTCCTACCTCATCTGTTCCTCAACAGAATGGCCAACCTATTCAGATACAGAATGCAGTTGTTTCACAAGTGCAGAGCACCAACATATCTGTTCCTGTAACTTCAGCTGTATCTACACAGTTAAGTAGATCTTTTCATGTTCGTGAGCAGCAAAATAATCCTAATTCAATACAGTTGCAACCCCTTGATAGACAATGTACCAGCAATAGAGCCTCAGTTCAGGTGTCTCGCCATCAAGAGGCACCCAAGCAAGAAGACCTCTATGGAACACTCTCTAATCAACATGTTCCCTCCAATATCGATATAACTAATATAGTTCAGTCTATTCATATTGAACCTTCAAATGAAAAAGGCCCCCAAGGTGAAGATCAATCATTGCATCGGACTACTTGTATGATGAATTGTGGAAATGACCGAAACAGTAAAGGTAGTGCAAGACTTGTCACTGATGATAGGTGTGGACATATTGTGTGTTTAAACTGTCTCATGAAGTCTCCTAATTGCTGCCCTATCTGTGATAATGGTCATGATCATGTTTTGAATAGAAACTCAGTGATAACAAATAAAAAAGAGCAAAATGAATGCTCTACCTGCGGCAAAACCTTTAAAAGACCTTCAGACCTATTGAGACACCGCAGAATTTGTCATGGTGACAATGACGGAGCATTTTCTTGTCCAGTTTGCAACAAAAAATTCACCAGGGCTTTTGATCTCAAAAGACACACCATCACCCATAATACTGAGAAAAAGTATGAATGTGGAAAATGTGGGGCAAAATTTAATAGAACTGAGAATATGAAAAGACATTTACAAGCTCATTCAGGAGAAAAACCTTTCCAATGTCCAGAGTGCAAAAAAGAATTTGGTCAACAAGAAAATTTGAATAGACATATTCTAAGTCACACAGGAGATTTTCAGCGATATAAGTGCAACAAGTGTGATAAGGACTTTACAAGACTAGCAAGTCTCAGAAGACATGAACACCGGCACAATGGTGATTGGCCTTACACTTGCCATGACTGTGACCCACCTCGTGGATTTTCTGAACCTGGACTTTTTAGAAAGCACAGACTAACACATAAGGGAATAAAGCCATATGTTTGTAATGCTTGCAACAAAGGTTTCAACAATCCTAAAGCTTATAGAAATCATAGGCGTATTCACACCGGAGAGCGTCCTTATGTTTGTAAAGTGTGTGAGGTTGCATTTTCTCAGTGGGGTCACCTCAAACGTCACAAGAAAGTTCACGAAAAGCAAGATGCCAAAGCTGCAGGATGTTATATAAGACGCCCTCAGGGATACCCTCGCAGGCAAGCTGATCCTTACAAGCCTAAATTACCATTATCAGCTTACTTCCTGTGGTTTATGGACGCTAGAGAGAGGATTTTAAAAGCAAATCCTCATCTGAATATGCCTGAGCTAGCAAAAGCTGGTGGTCGTCTATGGAAAACTATAAATCAGGAAGAGAGAAAATTTTATGAGAAGAAGGCTATTTCGGAAAGAGAGCGTTACAGAAAGCAGTTAGAAGAATACACAAGGAAGCGTAGACAAACCTTCAAGCCTGCGAATGTTAATGGTGTTTTGTCAAAGTCTGACATGTGTGTCGGAACAGATACAGAATTTGATCCAAATTCTAAAGAAACCCACTCATCTCCTCTAGTTGCCCCTGAGAATCAGGGTAAAACAAACTCTAGTGGTGGGTTTGATGGAAATCTTTTAGAATCTGCAGGGCGAAGTGTGGGTTTGCTTCCTGATGCTTACTCCGGAGAGGTGGTCCAGCTTGACTCTGCAAACACCTTCAATCACTTCCATTCTACCAGTTCAACCTTCTCACGAGTACCTGCTAGAACTTATCAAGACTTTTCTGAGTCCAGACACTCTGTGACTGATGCAGCTATGCCAGCTAGAACTGTCCCTACCAACGTAACTCTCACCACACTTTCCAGCAACTCCCATGGTCCCAGACCAAGCGTATCCCATGAAGCTCACTCTGGTATGACTGCGCCCCATTTCAATACTTTTAACAGATACCAGTCTGGCGAGGATTTTGTAGTTGCTGATTATCCGTTCACCAATTCTCCAACTCACATTTTAGACTTCAGCAACAGAGTCGAGGGTTCCGCTGCAGAAGCCACGTGATAGTGTAGTGATAATTGTGATGCTGGTTTATTCTTTCATCAGGTACCTTGTGTGAATTAGTGTGTGTAAATGGTAGAGTAAAGAGATGTATTCTGAGTTCTGACTCTTAGGATATATGATTTTATATTGACTCAATTTGATGTGATTTACTTACACGTTTTTACTTCAGATAAGTTATATAATGTTGATTTTTTAATGCTTGGATGAGTTCTGAGGGGTGCGAATTTTATAAAAAATTGAATTTTCTTCGTTATTATAATTTTGTTGGGTTATGGGTTTATGATATGACGCTTTATTAACACTCTATTTTCTATCCTTCTAACAATGAACCTTGCCCAATATATGTATAAATTCTGCTATTAGTAATTTAGTAAAGTAATAATTATTTATGTAGCTTCTATTAGAATGGAGCTTATGATACAATAATTGCACGTGTAATATAAACGTATGCTAGAGGTATGTGGAATGTGGATCATGTACTGATTCTACTCTGTAGAGTTGTTAGAATTTAAAATGAAAGTAGAACCAAAATCAAATTTTACAGTATCTGTAATTCTTTGGCAGGGAGCCACCTGTCAGGGGTTACAAATAACCCTATCATCCAAACGTCATCCTTTACTTCTTTCATCACATGATGTTGTTGTTGCCCGGACGGTGTCGGTAATTCTAAAGTTCTAACGACTAATTTACAAAAAATTTGAAGTTATACACATTTAATGATATAATATTTAAGAATAACTGCACCAAAATGGTTGAGTTTCTCCTAATCGTAATGCTATCTATTTGAAATTTGGAAGCATCAGGTTGCACAGCAATTGACTAACAAATTCCAAATTGCATTCTGTAATCAAAAACCCAATACGGCCTTTAGGTTAGAACAGTAATTTGTTGGGCATCATTCAACTATTCATTTCTTAGATATAGTTAAAAACTGATTGCCTTATAAAGGTGTTAAGATATCATGTTGTTAAGTTATTTAAGCTTGACAAGCCCATTGATATGTCGGAAAAGTTTCATCCTGTTATCTTAAATTATGTCTTAAATTGTTTTCAAGTTGCTGAGATTTATCATAAACAGTGAACTATGTCCAATGTACAGTTGTTTATATAAAAATGTTCTCATGTTCTGGTCTGTATGTTATATTGTTATGTGTACAATTTGTTCACATGCAGAGCTTGTATTGAGTGGTATATGTTGTTCTTATAATTATCTGATCTCCAAATTTATAGTGCACAACATTTTTCTTGGCTGCGTTTCACTATAATTAGAGTTTGTTAACTGTTCCAATAAAATTAGATATTAAATAAATCAAACAGGACTTTATTTGTGAAACTACAGCCCCTCAATAATATTCAATATTAGGAAATAAACGGAGTTCTGTTAAATAATCTAAAATGCGACAGTGACAGAAGAATAAATAGTTATTAAATTATTCATCAGCTGTTAAAATGTCCTCCCCATCGCCTGGGAAGAAACGGATGGACACAGACTTCGTGAAGCTGTAAGAATATTAATTACTGTTTTTAACATGATAATATTATGAATAACATCTTTAGCTAATTTCATCTATTATACTGATTAAATCGGAACATCAACGCAATACTCCTTACATATTATATATTATTATACATACTAGAAAGCTCGTGGCTCAGGAAGCTAATGTTATTCTTTGATAATCATTTTTTCGTATCGAAAAATTGAACACAGCGTAATAACAGCAAAACTGATCATAATGCCGATCCAAAATCTTTGCACGTGCGTTATTACTCTTACTTACTTACGGTTACTTCAGGTGTACTCTCTCCGTGTTCTCAATCTGTAACATTTCAGAATTGAGAATAACTACGAGGTTCAAATCCTGGGAGGAATCCACGAGTTTGTCGTTAAATTTGAAGGCCCTAAAGATTCTCACTACGAAAATGGTATCTGGAAAGTAAGGGTTGATCTTCCAGAGAAATATCCCTTTAAGTCGCCCTCTATTGGCTTCATGAACCGCATATTCCATCCTAACATTGATGAGATGTAAGTTTTAAGTAATCTAACTTTTAGATCTTGTTTTTATCTCATTTCTAAAATTAATCTTCACTTTATTACTTAAAAAGTTAAAATTCTTGCAGTTTTACAAATACATATGTTGCAGGTCTGGCACTGTTTGTTTGGATGTTATAAACCAAGCGTGGACTGCTTTATATGGTGAGTACCTGGTCACATACGTTTCTCTTCAATAGACTAATACCTTATTGGAATATTGGGCGAGAAATAAATTAGAGAAGTGCCAAGAACACTCTTATCTATGAATTTTGGTTAATCTTGTTTAAAATATGCAAAATGATATGAAAACTCACGCACTCAGTTTTGTGTGATTTGGCACGCAATGTGCGGAACAAATTCAATTCCATCTATGTATTTTCCACGCCTAGAATATGATGTACCTAGCAGGTGCTTTCCTTGGCGTGGGTCCTGGCAGATTAAGTAGCGATTTGGGGACAATATTTCAGCCTAATAGTCGACTAGATAGTTGTTAAGTAAAACTGGATGGATCACGTCATCTAGATAAGAAGGAAAGTTTGGTCGATATAATCGTGGTAACGTTACTCCAATTTACTGACCTAGACATCAGAATAGAAACTGAACTTATAACTTAACACTTGGTTCATGGTTGTGAGAAGATACTAGGATGTAACCACGTGGGGATCGAATTGCGCTGCCGGAATGTTTACACTCAGTAATACTACCTTGTATTAGTAGTAAAAGTAGTAGAAGTATAAGTAGTGATGAGAAAAGTAAAATGTATACGTAGTTCGGATATTTTACTCCAAATTGCCTGATAAGTGAACTGTAAGTCGTTAATAATAGCCTAAAATCTTACCTATTTTAAGCGCGCGGCGTTAGTTCTACAGTCGTTAGCATTCAGAAACAGGTTTTATCCTGTGAAAAGTGAATAAGTTTTCGCGCGCGTTTGTTTTTCTTTTTCAGATCAATTTATATAGATCGCGAGCGAGCGCGCAGAAGATACGCGCGTTCCGTTCGGCAAGATTGAATTATCTGTCATTTCGCGTCGGTTGTAACTCCAATTGTAGGTTCTAGGAAGCTATATTACAGCTATAGTCTGTACGATGCTCTTGGAAATTAGAGACAACTGCATCTGACAGATCGGGAAAATTCCTATGCGGTCGTTATCAAACTTGAATAATTGATTTAAAAGACTTTAGTATCTAACTGTAGCACTGTCACCTAACAACCAAATTCACCCTAGATTTACGGAACATATTTGATACCTTTCTCCCACAACTCCTGACGTACCCAAATCCAGTCGATCCTTTGAACGGTGATGCAGCAGCTTTGTATCTTCACAAACCTCAGCAATATAAAGAAAAAGTCAGAGGTGAGTCAAAGCCAGTCAATATTTTAACCATTTTTCCAGGAAATTCCAAAATTTGGATAGAAAAAATTGCGACGAACCTACCAGTAATAGTTCGCTTATAAAGTTTGTGAAACATGTTTTAGTCACAAACTGACACTGCACCCTCACAGAGTATGTGGACAAGTACGCCTCACCGGAATATGTGGACCGAATGGAGGTCACCAGTGGAGGGCAAGTAAGCCACCACGTTGAGGATAACGATGATGAGAGTTCTATGAGCTCAGGTGAGTCGAGCGATAAAACTGGGAAAACTCCATTTTCTCAGTATGGTCGAGATTACTCGTTTTTGTCATTTTTGGTTCACTGAGATTTGAGATCTTATTATCTAGAAATCGTGAGTTATATCTGAGACTCTGTCTAGACCTTCGTATAATTGTAACTATGGAAACTAACGATCTTCTAGTTACTGTGCATCAATTACCAGACTAATTTGTAGTTTTGATGAAATTTGTGTTATCTTACTCTTTCCCACTTTGACGCAAAAATGTTCCGAATAAACCTATAATAATTTCATTGTGGACGATCACTTCTTAATTTTCAATCATGAGTAAATGCCTAAGATTCCATGAGGGGTCAGGGGAATGTTACCATAAAACGTTTACGGAGAGGCAATGAAGCGAGCCATTTCATGACTGTTCATTAAATCTTAATATTTCAGATTATTCTGAAGACGAATGCAATGGGATGGAGCTGTGATAAAAGCCCGTATTTTGAATTCCTTAACTCCAGACTCCAGTGTTTGCTTCAGTGAGAGAATGAGTTTCCCGGATCCAGCTGCCGGAATCTTCACCTCGACCCTACTAAAACCACAGTCTGCATAGTAATGCCAAATATACAGCATACACGTCGTCCTCTGCGATCACGACGCCGGAATGCGCAGCTGTTGCTAACCGGGGGACTGCAGACTCATCACTCAATGGAATTTATTAATATTTTAAACTTATAATGCCTGGGAACCCGATTTGTAAATATATATTTAAACTTTCGATATCCAATTGTTACTATAGTCGTAACTTGCTGTGTGTTTATTTAAATTGTGGGTCCGAACTTTGCAGCAGTTACTGCTCTAAAACTGTTTTTGCCGAAAATGTTATCAATATGGACGTGAGTGGTAATAGTGGGAACTGGGAAGTGGCTTGTATTTATTAGGAGCTAGTAAAACTTAAACAACCCTTTCAATATTAAAGCATTTAAGATCATACGTAATGCGTATATATTTTATATTCAAATAATATAGATTTTGCAATTCTGAATATTTTAAACTCCTTATAGCTCCCACCGTTACCAATATCAATGCATTGTCTAAAATTTGGATACATATTTTCTATGTTTATTAATATCACTATAAGTGGCGATGATCTTTTAAGACTAGTTAAGGATACTTTCTTATTCTTACTAATACTTAGGCTCACTCAGATCAGGGGGTATTACATAGTAGCTTAGTTATCATTTGGTCTTTTAATAATTTGCGTTGTTTAAGTGGGATACGTTTCCTCTTACCTTGTTGATTTTTATGTAAACCGCAGAAATCTGCCTCTTAAAAGATAAAAAGACTCCAAATATCTTTCTGTAGTATCTTTAGTTGGAATGATACCGATGAATGCAGGGTGTACAGTATTTCTATGAACGCATCTAACTGAGAATTCCTAAAATCTACAGACACTTTCACCACTGCTTAAGCAAAGATAATTAACCTTAATCCTTATTGCCTATTCCTTTCGCGATGATGTTTCGAAGTTAGATGCGTCTCCCTTGGTTTGTCATGTTATGTGATATTTTGTTTTTTTAGTTTTCAAACACTAATTCCTGTCCCAATTTTTTCGCTCTCCCGAAATTGTGAAGCCAAATTCTTCAGAATTATTCACATAGTTCAACTTCATAATCTAAAAAAGTGACCTTATTTCCACTTCTCAATAACAATATTAGGCAAAAATCGGGATTTTGCTGACGTCAGCATCGCTGTTGTAATATTTGAACGAGGGTTTCAATTATATCGGGTTTCGGAATTCGGTTAAGTCGTCATACCCTTTAAGGGGGCAGGTAAGGGGGGGTCTTTATGGAAATTTTGAAAATCCCGGACCTGGAAAAATCGTCAAAAAACGAGGTCCAAGATTTTCAAAATCGAATAAAAAATTTTTAAAGGCCTATCTCAAAATTCTGATCGACCAGAAGTTTCTAAATGGTCATTAGAACATATCCTGAAAGTTTCAAGGTGTTTGCTCAAAAAATGTAGGAGAAGATAGATTTTTAGACTCGATTTTCAGGGCGCGCGATTGAAAATCGCTCGCGCAATACAATTAAACATGAGCGCTGACCTTTGACTGGCAATAAATTCGGCTAGGAACAATATTTTTCCATAGGACTAAAAGCAGCAGATAGATATCACTCCCCTCTATCAGAAACAACTATAAAATCAATTTCGAGAGAAATTTCATAAAGACCCCCCTGCCCCCTTAACTTTAACGTAAGCTTATCATAATTTCATTGTGGGTTCCATTGAAATTACCGGATAACCCGGTTATGTCAAAGCACCGACTATTAAATATCTGGTGATTAGGTAATAATGTGATTTTCGCACCTGTATGGCTGCATGATTCGTTCGCCATTTGGTTATCATTGATTGAAATTCATAGACAAAATTCTCAAAGTTTTAAAATTCAAAATTTAGCAACACATTAGTCACATTTTTGTACTGATGAATGTCCTAATCGACCAATCATCTGAGTCTAGTTATTAAGATAGGTATCACTATAAATATAATCGGGCATTTAAATCGACTAGACCATGCGGTAACCCATTACAAAACTTCCAAAACTGAGCGTGGAAGTTGCAGTAAAGTATTATATCGGGTAATGACCAGTGCTTCGCACTTCAGTGCAGATAATAACCCGCTGTATCCTGTTTCTAGGTGATTTCATTAAATTCAATGACTTGGTTATCTTTAGTCGACCTTTTAGAAACGCTGTTAATTTCGCACGAGAAAACCTTTCTCAACATTGTTACTATTGATCACAAACTTAGTAGGGGTCGTTCAAATGTAACGTTATCTGCACTTCGTAATCAGCATTACACATAGTTTTAATTCTAAATGGAAAGCTCCAATAGTTGTTGTGGCATTCGAAAAAACCCTCAGTGATTAAGTAATATGTGGACGACATTTAATCATTTGCTTTAGGGAAAGATTAGACTTGGACGTTGTTTTTAACTTAAAGTTAAACTATCTCCTGTTTAGAACTTTTATTTAATAAACATAATATAAGTTAACGACCCTTTATTGCAGGTTCTTTTGTTCAGGAAGTCCCTCTTTTTGATGATCGTATCCAATCGGCAATAGTTCATACTGAATTTGATTATCAGAAATATTCTCTAGGCAGTACTTCAACAGACTTATTTGGAAGTGCAATGATACTGGAAAACAAGCTGACAACTGAAGATGATATGAACCTGAAGAGAAGTAACGGAGCGACGTTTCAACCTGGTTATAAAGCTAAGTTAGTTTGTCTTTAATTGTGACCAGTTTGTTAAATTGGCTAGCTATCTAGGTAAACTATAGGTAAAAATATAATATTATTAATCATAAGCTAAAATGTACTAATCTTTGTATTCTATATTACTATTATGTTAACAAATAGTTTTACTCATATTGATGGTAGAAGTTTGGTATGAACTATCATTTAATATTAATTACTGTTGATGCATGATAAGAGATTGGGGGCCCGCGTTCACCAAGTTTTTGATAGATATGACTTGGTGGAGATATCTGCAAACTATTTGCTATTGAAGTTTGTTTATCTTTTAATGTATTTTAATTTAGCCGATGTGCTGCTTACAGTTAGGCGTTAGCTGTTCTCATTCGTAAACCTAGAAATATTGACAGCACAGAAGATCAAATTAGACGATGTGGATGAGGTATCATAAACCATTTATTTTTATTGAATTTATAATATTATATAACATGAACTAATTAGTTGTAATTTGTACTCTTCTATATTTAGATTATTATTTTAGTCGATGGTGAAATGGTTTCCCTACAGTGATTCCATTCTATTGCTTCGAATGGGAAATTGTAATTTTAACCAGAGGAACGAATATTTCATCTCTCTGTTTTTACTCCCTGCCACTCCCAAACAAGGCATGGATGCTATAGCACCACCGTGCATCAGTACAAGCACAAACTTCACACGTACACGTGGGGCCGTGCACAGTATGTAATATATATAATATATATGGTACCAGGTACCTGACCATGTAATATATAAGGAAGAGCACCCGGTCCGGTTAATGACGTTAATAGTTCCGGGTAGCAGGTATAACGCGCGCACACGTGCAACTAAACACCGGTGTTTGTTCTCTGAAACTGCAGGGTACTTTAACCTACTTCCTCCAGTGGAGCCAGCTCGTGCTGCTAGGTTCTCCGGTAGTGTAGTGGTTGTTAGGGAGGTTTTGACACGTGACTTTTGTTTGGACATATGACCTTGGTCCATTGTTTTTATCTGATGCAGTTCTTATATAAGCTGTTTGTCTCGTGACCAGCCACCCCACTATAAGTGTTGGAGTACACGTAATAGTGCATATTTAGTGGGAATCTACAAATAAGTTATAAACGAATTCAATTTGTCCATTATATTTCTTTTCCAAAGACTTTGTGCTCTTGGTCAGGCATTCCTTTTTTGCAAAAAAGTAGTTTGCAATGCGACTTCTCGGCAGTGAGCACATTAGAGTCTAACTCTAGACCTACTTAATGAATATTATATGAGCACACGAAATTGTGATTATATTTGCTTGAGTAAGAACACAAGCTTATGTTCAATCACTTCAGACTTTATATTTAAGCATGCATCTCGATTCTTACTACATACTACTATTACTATAATTCAAACAGAAGTGGTCGAGTCTGATTGCATAACTAAAATGCAAATTCTGGCATGGGGATATATATATTATATAGGGTTCGATTCATTATACTTTTTACGGTCTGGACCTCTGTGGTTTCATTCCTATGTAGCAAGTCTTACGCGTAAGACTTGCTACATAGGAATGAAACCACAGAGGTCCAGACCGTAAAAAGTATAATGAATCGTTGATACGCGTATCAACTATTATATATTTTATATATCAAATTGTTTGTATTTCTATCGTTTTTTTTGTTGACATTCTTGTTAACAACTTGATCAATTTGTTCCCCAGCGTGGTCATTGGTAAATGAAGTTTTAGTCCACTATAGATATTTGTATCCAGCTTTAAGTCTCTTATGATTAACGAGCGTATAATAAATTGATTGTTTTTATGTACAAAATTTGCGGCGTTGATATAAGAGAAAACGCATATTCGAAAGTTCTTATTCATGACAACATATTCCGAGGTCTGCTAAATGCTACACGTCGCAAGATTTAGTATTAAATTTAGATCTTTCAATCTTTGGACAGTATCTTCTCATATTAGCATATTTTGTTCTTCATAGTCTATAACTGTGATGAAAATTGAACAGGCTATGATAACTTCTGGATCAGAGCAAAACACATATTGCACCAATTTCAGACATTACCAAATTTACATTCGATTACTTGTTTTTTTAAAAACAGTAACTTAAGACGACTAAACGTTAAATGTTTACATTTATTAGATCACTAAACTTTTCTGTCCATAATTATCTGGGTTCATTTCATTTCGATGTTTCAGTTCTGAATATTTTGTGGTTTGCTATCACCTAATCCTTTAATCTTATAAGTCAAGCGGTTGTACGATTGCTTACTAATGAAATTGCGGTATTTTAACTTTCCGCCCGATAACATTTAATCATTACCGATTACTACGGAAACCAATACATCAATTAAGCCCAGAAATTGTAATGTAAATTGCCTCCGTTGGTAGATACAGGATCAGTGTCGTGATGACGTCATCATTTTACCTGGATAATGGTGTGGGGAGTGGTGGGCCCCCCTGGCCCCAGCTCTCAAACGAACACCCGCTAGTCTCCAGAAGTACCAGGTTACACCCTGCTCAATATCTGCTGCTGTTATGCTGCTTTTAGCTGCTCTCAACTCCGCTAATCTTCACCTTCCGCTGCTCTTTTTAAGCCAAATTCAATTTTACTATATTCGGTCACGTACTTTGAGCTCTATAAGTGTCGCCAAATTGATTTAGCTTCGTATCAGGTCATGCCTTAGAGACCAGATCAGTGGCTCCCAAGAAAAACAAAATAGCCTCGAAGAAAATTCATTTGAAATTGTAGTTTTACTGATCACCGGAGGCGGAATACGTGACTGATACCCGCACTAAAGGTCTAAAGCTATCCAAGTCATTTTAAGTCAATTAATTTCTGCATTTACATTATATGCAGCACTGACGCCCAACTCCCAAGTGAGATATTCCAATTGGTCCCACCCACTAAATAAGCCGGCCGGCCGGAGTGCACGCTTCGCGTGCACGAGAGAGGTATACAGCTTGTAGCAACCACACCCGCTAAATAAGCCCACACTACACATCGAATTACGGTATCAGTATTCAGTATGCATATTAAAAAACGAAGCAGGAAGGCGGTGGGCTTCCAGAAGGCAACCTTTGCTTACATAAACACAATGAATACATTTTTGATTAGTGAACATTCTAAGTTATCTGTTTGGTTATTTGTTTGGTGCCGTGTTCTCAGTGAACCTGTTCGTTATCCGTATTTTGTCTGTAGAATGCAGGATACAGACACAATCATATTTCAGTCATGTTTCTTAATGCCAATGCTAGTAGTAGTATATCACTGCGTAGTAGACGTTGGCCGAGCCTTCCGGTTATCTTCTGTCAGCTCTATT